AGGGTGTCCAGGTGGTTGATTATCAGACTTTTGCACCTCATTTCCCCCAGAAATTCCCTTTTATGGGGTGGAAGCCTGGGTTTTTTGACTTGCCTAAATGCCTTCTCATTTTTGTTCTTGGTACTGTCCCTGGTTTAGTTCCTGGGTGGATATTATGAAGTTGTTTATTGTAAGTATCTTTGTTGATCTATTTAAAACCCTTATGGAATGATTGCTTCTCAGAGGTGTCTACCAGATATAGCTGGTCTTTAGGTTTTGAGTCTCTAATGACTCTGAAGCTATCTCATTTTCATTATACCAGGAAGGAAAGTTGTTTAGATCAATCATGACACCTTAACCCAAGTCATACAATCAGCAACACCATAGCATCAAATACCTCTTAAAGAATGACAATTTGTGGTAGTTATTAATCTATCACCTTTAAAAAATAAAGGGCCTCCTTCAAGGTGTGTCTCTGCTGTCACAATAGACAATGTGGGCAGCAGTGTGCAGGTGTAAATCAATGAGTCTCAGTAAGCTAGTCCCAGACCCGTGAGATTCAGGCAGATTTCTGGTTGCAAGTCCCAAGTTGAACTCCCTGTCCTCCTGCAGGGTTGCACTCTGCAAGTTGCTACTGCAGGTTTCAGCTGCTTTTCCCCTGAAGAAAGTCCAGTTTCTGCTGGGAGCTGATAATCCCTCCAACTTCTCAGTCACGGTGGTCTGGTGTGCCTTTATTGCAGAGATTCCCTTCACTTTTCCAGTGGGCTTGTTTTCATCAGGGATCCTGAGACAGGCACTCTCTCTGTTGTTCACTTTTGAAGCTCAGGACAATGGCTTTTGTTCCCCTGTGCCTCTGCAGTGTGTAACCAAGTAGCTGCACATTCAAAAGGCCAGGGGCTGGGGGAGGATTGTTGGAGGCACCCATGTGGCCAAGCCGTCAGCTAGTGGGCCTGCCTGGGGGGGGTCCTCCTCACCCTGTCCTGGTGGCTGGTGGAAAGTTGGTGGAGCAAGCTGGAGCAAGCAGGTCCCGGTTGGCCTGCAACCACTCGGCCCCACTGGCTCCATTCGGCCCAGCCATCCTATTTTTATTTTTTATTTATTTACTTTTTTGGTACTGGGGATCAAATTCAGGTCCTTACACTTGCAAGGAAGGTGGCAGAACCACTGAGCTAAATCCCCAGCCCTCCAACACCATTTATTATATGGGTTATCTTTCCTCCAGTGAGGGTGGTTGGCTCCTTTGTCAAAGATGAGGTGGCTGAGTATGTCTGGAGTTGTTTCTGCATCTTCTAATCTATTCCACTGATC